TGTCTGATGCTAGATCCAGCCTATGAGGAGCTTCACAGTCGGGATCTGGCACAGGGCATGGCTTGAGTTTGAAACTTCTGCCTTAGAGCCCAAAGAATAAACCAATCAAAAACTGAACATCTTCTTGGCAAACATGTATCCACAGGACACAGTAAATAAAACTCCCACAGGTCTGTTAGAATTTCTTAAGTGTATATGAAGTATAGTTTTTAAGTAGAGGAGCACCGATACATCGGTGCCATATTAGATCAGCACCAATATAAGAAAAATTGACTGCATCGATAATCGGCTTTTTTGACTGATGTGGCCGATAATGCCACCGATAAACGTCCCACGCCTGCATGCAGCCGCAATGGGGTGTGTGGGGGGCAGACTGAAGCCCCAGTGGTGAGACAGGGAGTGAGATTGGGCAGAGGCTACACAGTCTAGGGGGGATGCGGGACGGAGCCATGGGTGGCTCATCTGGGGAGCACGGGGGGGTGCAGCTCCTGTCACTATGGGCACCCCAGGAGGGCATGTGGGGGCATGTGCCCCCAGATCTGCATGTGGGGCGAGGGTGTGCTGCCGCCACGGGTGGCACTGGGCTCTTGGCGGCAGGGGGCTGGGCGTCCCTCAGGGTGGGCAGTAGTGGCACTGGGATGGGAGCTATGGTGAATTTTGGGGTGGCTGCAGCCTCTCCCCATAATCTCCTCCCAGCGTCGCCACCACCCACCCTGAGTGCAGCCTGGCCCAACACCCCCACCAGGAAAAGCTTGGCACTGCCTTGGCCCCAGCCCACAGCAGCAGCCCAACCTCACCCCATGCGCAGATCTGGGGGCACATGCCCCCTATGCCCTCCCAGGGTGCATGCAGCAGTGGGAGCTGCCTCCCCCTCACTGCGCCCCCCAGATGAGCCGCTCGCAACTCCATCCCCTGCTCTGTTCCAGCTGTGCAGCACCTGCCCCAGCACCACTCCCTCCCTCACTGTGGGGGCCTCAATCTGCCCCCCACACCCCTTCCCTTCCCAAATAGACTTACCAGCCAGACACTGCTCTCTACGCTGCCCAGCTGCATATCAGAATTGGATCAGTATTGGTTGATATGGCTCATTAAAAATCAGCCACCAGTATTGCCTTGGCCCAAAAATTCTCTATCAGTGTACCCCTATTTTTAAGCTAGACCGCATGTCACTTTTAGCAGATACAGTGCACCAAACAAGGTGATAAAAGTCTATGTTTTTATTTAGGTCAGCTTTTTTGGTTTAAATGTATATTTTAAAAATATATGTTTAAAATTAAATCTGAAAATAGGATAACTAATATACAGACTGAAGCTTGCTTCAATCTATTAAAATAATTTAAATAAATAACAGAAATGTTCTGGATAAATGAGTCTTTCACAATTTTAATAAGTTCAATGGTGGTATTTTCTTAACAATGTATAAAACTGGGGGAAACATCTTTAATTTTTTACAACAACTTGACCTTTATAAATACCTGACAATGTTATTTACAATCTTTACAGCAAGTAAACACCAGTAATACATTTTGTCATATGCAGGCACTTTCAAGTTTCTCTTGTGCAGATAAGTTTTTGCCTTATTTTTCTTCAAGCATGTGCAGGAAGAATAGGTTCTTCATTTGGGATAGTTCATTCAAATTTGAATTGAGAGTTGAAAGAACATGCAAAAGTTTTTCTTCCAATCTAAGAGTAAAAAGAATCAGGCAGGAAAGGGCACTATCTACTAAAATGAGAAACACATAAGTTATCCAATCAGAATTTCAGAAGTTTCTACATCTGAAGATGTACGTAGGCAACTAGAGAGATTTTCAAATCTGTATCAAAAGGTTTGCATCTAACTCTCACTGACTGAAAAAAATGTAAATATATGATAAAAGATGGAACTTCATATAGCTATCTTTGCTCATGCGAGGACATTATTTCATTTTAATTTGCCTCCCATAAAATAACAAAAAAACATATACAGCAGGTTTCCCATTATGAAACTCTTTAAAAAGGAAAGACTGGAAAGACTGCACTAAAACAAAATAATGCATTTCGGGCAAATATTTTATTCACAGAAACAAGGCAGACTACTTGGTTATTTAAATTTTCCTTGGACTCATTAAATGCTTTATTGTGCAAGAGACTGAGCTCTCCAACTCACCCAGCAGAACACTTAAGCATGTGCTTAATGTTAAGCATGAAAGTAGTTCTGTTGAAGTCAGCAAGACTGCTTATAATACTTAAGTGCTTTGCTGGGTTGGAGCCAGAATGCTCAGAACCTTGAAGGATTGGGCCCTGAAAACAGACACAACAACAGCAGACAGCAAAAACAGGACAATCACAAAAGCAAACAATAAGAGAAAGAGGAAGATAAAGCAGGTATGTTCTAATTATCCCATGATTTTGCCTGTACTACTACAGACTTTCAATGGGGATTAGATCAGGTCTTCAAATATTTGGTTGTTATCAATAAAAAGCACTCAGCTCTAGAATTGACTTCTACCATCAGTTCAATAAAGCCCAAGCTTGCAGGAAGGTGCAAGACCCATTTCTTTGCCCAGGATGTCATTCTGGACAGCAGGCACAGACTTACAATTTTAACAAAATATTAAAGACTATCTTTTCCTTTAGTTTCTTTTAAACAATGTGTTGTTATACAGTCCAAGATACATTAAGGTACTTTAAAAATGTATAAAACATATTATGATATAAGGCTGTGAAAAACCATTCTGGTATTGTAATTGGGCTGCCTTTGCCAATCACAAGAAAATCCAGTGTCCCTGGATTAATGGAATTCCAAAATACAGAATTATCTATATTTTCTCTATACACGGACATATGTTCATGAGCAGATCCATGATTTAAAAAAGGCAGGTGAATAACCATGACCTGAGCTGCAGGGGTGGCTGCACTCTTCCACTCCCAGCCCCCCCTCTCCCACCCCCTTCCAAGATAGGTAGATCATGCCACAGGAGCAGCAGGCAGGGACTTTTTAAATCAGGCAAAAATTCCACCCCCACCCCCTGGTCTAGGCTCCCCTTCTCTTAGCCTCTGTGCTTACTACACCTCCTCACCTCTCCCTTTATCTCTTTGTCCTCTCTACTTACATTTCTGGGTACAGGAAGGGGAAACCCAGCCACTCCTGACCTGTTTCAGGCACAGCCATGGGAAGGGGCTGTACAGAGAGTGGGGCTTGGCCAAGTTCCTGCTCTCTGCACCTGCTTCCAGGTTAGCATGAAACACCTGCTAACCTGTAGGACCAGAGGGGGAATCTGCCTGCCACCACTACTGTCCCTAGCTGAGCCCACTGTCCCAGGCAGCCTGGCCAGAGTAGGGCAGGAATGGCCATGGAGGTCCTCCCCAACTCCAAGTCAGCTACAGGCAGTGGCAGCAGCAGCAGGAGGAAGAGGGAAAGGGAAAGACAGAATAAAGATATTCAAAACAGTGAGCCACTGAGCATAAAGAGGATGAAGGGGCCTACTGAGATCAGGGAACGTGGGATTCTCACCTGATTTGGGGGCTTAGAAAAAGTCCCTCCCTGCTGCTCCCACTGTGTGATCCAAAAGGGAGTTGCAACTGCACCACTTAAACCCTTCTGGATCTGCCTCTGCATATACTGTGTGAAAGAATTTTATATAAAAAGCTAGCCTTGTGCTTGGACTGGCCTGAAAATAAGCATTTGGTTTTCAAAAAGTTCTACATTTTAGCATTTGTTTTCTTCTTCCATTTGACAAAACTAGGATATTTCAAATATTTCAGACAAAAAAAATTAAACACTCACACCAAAACTGCTAGTATCCTGCTAGTTAGGTCATTTACATGGGATGGAAAAACTCAGGTTCAAGCCCCTGCTCAAACCAACTTACTGGTTCCTCTTAGATAGTTTCTTGATGAATCAACACTTTTCAACAAGAAAAAGTATTCCATCAAAAAATTTCCCATCAATTGTAATTTGCAACTTTTTTTGTTCCTTTAAAACGCAGAAGGAATGACAGAAATGTGTCTTTTTGGGGGTGGGAAGGACTTTTTCTTTTTTTAAACATACTACTATTTTACATACTGTTTTGAATATCAAATATGCCCTATCTTCCTGGTTTTACCAGATGACTTTTTGTGCGTCTCATTATTAACTCCTCACCTTAATTCAAGGGTCAGCACCACTACACCTTTAAAAAAAAATCTCAAATTATCATTAGACACTGGTATTAAATGAGAACTAGAAACAAATGTCTTTCCAGGAACCCTTTTTCTTCTCTCAGTGCTTCAAATTTCAGTCTGTTGTGATTTCATAATTTTACTAGGTCTTCAAATCACCAAAGACTACCAATCACTAATGGAGAAAAGATCTGTATTTCTTGTATTGAAAGCAAGCAAAAGAGAACCTATTTCCTCAGGGCTGTTCAGGTCTTCTACATGCATAATAAAGAAGCAAAAAACAGAACGCAATACATCAAAACAAGCCCATTGTGGGTTGGGGTTTTTTTTGCCTCTGGCAAGTTGCTTCTAAACTCAAATTGTAATTTTTGTAGTAGTAGCTTCCAGTACACTCTCATGTTGTCTTTTCTTGCCCACTGTCTCAGACACTTGATACAAGCCCATATTAATTGGTATGGTACACTTAGTATTCTGGATTTAGCTGTTTTTATTCAATATATTTTAGATCACTTGCTAATGTACTGACTGAGGGACCTTTAAGCAGTCACTACTTAACTATCTAGTTTATCTGCTAACTGATGGAGGGTGAATAACACAGGAAAGCTCTTCCAGTACCAAGAGGAGTATGACTTCGGCATAATTTTCCAAAGGACTCTTTGACTAGACTCTAATCTCCAAAGGACTCCAATTTCTCCCTGACAGATGTGACTCAGCTTCATATTTATAAGCAGTAGACTCAGTTCCACAGTTCTTAGGCAAAATTTTTAGGAAGCAAAAACTATTTTTCCTAAATAAAGACTGCAGAATTAAGGCCTTGCATCTTTCACAAATAATAATTACACAGACAAACATTACATTACTTTTATCTCCACTGCCTCTTTCACATTCTTCTTTCCCATTTGAGTTCTCTATATCTTGAATAAGTATTCTTTGTCGTTTAGTATGGGTCTTGGATACAGGCTTTATATCTTTAAGTTTCTGTTCCATTTCCAACAGATTTTTCTGCAGAAGAGCAATAATAGCAACATTAGAAGTGTTCTTTTGAAGCTAGTATTTGGATATTACCTTCCATTCTCAAGTAAATATTGTTATGTTATAAACAAGAAATTAGACAGAGAAAGGTTAAGTAATTTCTTCAAGATATTAGTGCAAGTATCTGAACTTGGCTTTGAAATAGGGTTTTTGGTTCCTAGTCCAGTCTTAAATTCACTAAAAGCCAAAGCGTATGTAATATAAATACCATATCTATATCTATATAGACATCTGTGCCATTTGTAAATGAGTTATTTGGGATACTGACTGTATGTTTCTGTGTGTGCAGACAATACAGTTATGAAGATAAGAATTAACTAGAATGGCCTGTTTGAGAGAGAGTAACAGATTCAAGGTTTACAGACACTAAACTATTTCCTGGAACTTTGGGAGAGAACTCAAAATAATTTAACCAAAATCCACACTAGAAAAAGCCCATTGTTTGATAAGAATATTTTTTTTCTTTTCACATATTTTAACCGTCACAGCTAGGGAAACATAAAACTAAGAAAAAGAATTTCTTGCAGACCACTAAAGCGATGTGAAAACTGATACAAGTTCTGTAAAAAAAGAGCAAGATAATTCGAAAGCTACAAATCCTTTCATTCATGTCAGAAGGTATGCCTGGATTTGCAAGAACATACTGTTTTTGGTCTTACTGCTCTAATCAGAAAGGTGTGCATTCATGTTAAAGGGCAACAAAAGTTGTAGGACTGTAATCAATTTTGACTGAAAAAAAAAATCCACTGGGCAGAATTCTATTTCACCTAGTGACCAAAGTGCAGCTTGGAACAACCTCCAAGTTTTCCAACTAAAGTGTAGGTGTGGCTCTTTAACATCCTCTTGGCAGGTTAGATTTAGCAGATCCTCCTTTATAGTCAACATGACATGGATGCACAAATCATTTATTCATT